GAGCGGGCCGGGGCCGGCACCCTGGCCTCGCCCCGCTCGGAGCGCGCTCCCTGTGCCTCGTTTCCCTCTCCCCGCAGGACGGTCCCGCTGCCAAGAGGATGGCCGTGACCCTGGAGCAGGCCCAGCGGGTGGGCTGTACCTGCGTGAAAGCGCTCCTCAGGTTCGCCTTCATGGTCGCCAACAACCTGGTGGCTATTCCGTCCTACGTCTTGTACCTAATCGTGCTGCAGCCTCTGCGAGTGCTGGACAGTAAAAGCTTCTGGTACATCGAAGGAGTGTTATTTAAGTGGCTGTTAGCGATGGTGGCTTCCTGGGGCTGGTGGGCAGGATATACAGGTAAGAATGTCTTGTCAATTTGAAATGTATGAATATGAAGATGTAAATAATTGTTAAAACGCAGATGGCTTTGTATGGGGACGTGTAGGGGAATATGTAAGCGTAGTAGACACATAGGATCTTGTTCTTTCAGGTTTCTGATGCAGATGCTTTGTATTTCTGTACTGAGATGCTGAGTCTACTGGCACATTATTTTTAAATTGTAAGGACAAACTTACTGTGTGTTAAAGCAGAATTTCTTAGTGTTTTGTCTTGGCATAATCAGAAATAAGATTTTTCCTAGGTATCTTGATCACTTTGTTTTAGTGTTATGTGAAAAAGGTGCATCCTTCAAGAGTGTTGATCTGTACTGTGCGTGTAGCTGATAGAGCCAAACTTTTCTTTAAGTCTATGCGTCTCTAAATCATCTCCGCTTAAAACTATCAGGACACACGGGTAAGAAACTTGATACGAAGCTCATGTCAGAAGAGTGGGTCTTCTATTCCTTGCAACAGTGACTCTCTTTCCTGCTGCTTCAGAATGAAGGGGAACGGAGGGAACCTCTTTCATACCAACAGCGATACACAGTGTTACTTGACTGTATGGCTCTTGGTGTACTTTTAGCAGAGTTAATTATAGAATCTGTAGGGTTTTTCCCCTCTGCATGCTTGCTTTGCAGTTATGATTGAACTTAATTTTGCTTGTTAGTATTCATAGGGTCATCAGGGTGATGGATTGAATTGAAATACTAAGGAAGGCTCTAGTCTTGTCCTTAAATGCACTGATTTTCATCCTGGTTGCTGCACTTTGTGCAAGATAACAGCCATCAGTTCTTTGTATGTGCTTAGACCTTGGAAAGGGGAAGACTTGAGTCTACTGAGGGCAAAATATGAACAGCCCTCCTAAAATTCCTTCCCTCTCTTCTGCCCAGGCTGTGTCCACAGGTCTTGTCCATGTAAAGAAGGAAAAATAAAAAAGGAATGGCAGCACACAGCTCTGGAGTCTGGTCAGACTCCTGCTTAGTCAGAAAGTCAGTGTTGACGCAGATGGAGCAATCTCTCTTTGTTAGGCTACAAGGGCTGAGGCTTCTGTGATAATGTGCCTTTTGATACGCTGTTGTGTGCCTTTCCGAGACACACAGAGTTTCTGTGGATACTCTAGGTGAGCTTCCAGTTCTTCAGGAGGTGGTGGCAGCAGCAAGCTAGGTTCTGGTCTCTTGGGCTAGAACTGTCACAAGGTTGCATTGCTTCAAAATTGCCTTGCCTGGTACAGCTCAAGCTTTTCCAGTTACACTGTTTTAAAAATCTTTTGGTGCGTTTATACGTGCTCATTGAAAGAAGTCCACATAGTGTTTGCAGTGGCAGGTGTGTTTCTGAAAGTCTGCTCTGTGTTTAAAGCACAAAGGCCTTCTTCCGCAAGGAAGGAGCGACTTCCAAGGTGTCTTGTGTGCTCTAAATTGGAAATGGGAGAAATGTGCGGGCATAGTGGTAATGTTAAAGTCATACAGCAGGTGACCCTGGGGATTTGCTGTGCATCTTGAACGTGCTAGTTAAAATTCAAGCCATTCTCCCATGGTGATAATGGCTGTCAATTTTTGAAAGTGGTTTCCTTGGGACAGTTTTATTGCTGACTGCAGAACTGCGTGGTTTATTTTGCCTATCGCTTGGAAAGCGGTCTCAGCATGACCTGCGTATCGTAGAGTCTTCCCGAAGCGGCTGTTGATCCGTGTTGCTGATGCGTCTTGACGATTTGAAATCCTTTGCTTTACAGTCTTGAAATGTCTTTGTGTGTTTGTTTGAAGTATCGCTTACCAACAGCTACACAGGATTGTTTTCTGGGGTGGTGTATGGGTAAGGAGGCCCTGCTTTTTTTGCTTTACCCTACAAAGCACGGCTTTTGTTTTGGGGAAGGTTTTAAGCAAACGCTTGAACAAAGTCTCAGCGTAAATAGATTTTATTTCATATGAAGACATTAACATGTTTTATACTGAAAGCTACAAACCAGCAAGAAGAGCTTATTTCTTGGTACGTTCTTTCTTTACGTTTTTCAGTGCTCACCACCACGTGTGGAACAAACCTGGAAAGCGTATCTTTCTTGCCTCAGCACATGTAGACAGAGTAATTTGTGTCTGTTTCCAGATTGATGGATTTATAAAAGACTGTCTCTGGGTCCCCTCTTCTTACAGTACAGCAGAACTAATTCAGTGCTGAAATACTACCGTAGTAGAGTCAGTGTCTAAGACATGCAGTGCTGCGTCTGAAAGAGAGACTGCTCCAGAATTCTTCTGTTTTCAGTTCCAAAAACTAAGTTAAAGATACGCTTCAGTATGTTGCATCTTTGTAAATGCAAATTTTTTTTGGTAAAAAAAAAAAAAAGTAAATGCAAGATAGTAGGTATGTATGGGTTCACTGAGATGATCAGGGGTGTTTTCTTCTGAGTATCGAAGTAGTTGGTGAGTTTTGGGGTTTTTTTGCTTCTTGACTGAGAGGGTAACCAGTTAAATAAGTTTATTTGTCTTTTAATTGGAAGTAGTGTTCCGCTTCACTTGTGTTGAAAGCATGTTTCACTTTTTTAATTTCTCTACTTTTTCCCCTTCCAAGCCTGGTTCATCTGCTGGGTGAGAAGTGACATAAACCATTTGTAATTAGGGACTTAAACTCAGCCTGCAAAGTAGATTCAGGGCAGGGTCTTTTTAATTTTTTTCCCCTTTAAGTTTGTATGTACTGTGTAGGAGACAACTCAACACCCAATGAAGAAAATACGTTGGGTGCTAGGTTTTCCTTCTGGGCTTTGCTGCTGTTGCGTAATTGTTGGTGTACTTGATTGAATAAAGCTGGGAAGGCTGAGGAAGACTCACGAACTAGGTCTGGCCTCCTCCCCACCCCCGCATAAACTTTCCTTTTGTGCTAGGATCCTGGAGGAGGATTTGTTACAGAAATTCCATGAGCTTGTGTCTCTGTCGGCAGCTCTAATCTGTGCTTTTTGATAAACGTCGGTGTTTCCGTTTGCAGATGCACTTCATGTTATGTAAAGAGATAATGTATAACTGGACAAGCCAAATCAAGGGAGGAATGGGGAAGAGAAGTTGTAAAGGTCACTCTCCGTTCCCTAATCTTTTTCTTCTTAAGATGCGAGTATGAGAGGGAACTTGGGCATAATTGGTTGCCTTTGATTTCTAAAGGGCAGAGGATGATAAATATCTGTGTTGTTCTCTTGAACTCTATAGTGTTTCTTATGAAAACTGTGTCTTTTTATGAAGAATATTCAGATAGTCTAGCTATGTTATTTTATTTTTATATGCTTTCAGAAAGGCCGCCTTAACTCTGCTAAGCCTTTTTCTTTTTTTAAGGCTTTTTGTGTACATGTATTGCTGTCGATGTAGGAGCTGTTCACTTAGGATACACGGAATCTGCATATTAGTGCAATTTGAAAGGCACCTTTGAATAACACTTATAAATATTTCCCTGCATTTGTTGGAAGATGCGTTCTAAAAAAAGCGAACTCGAGTGTGCTTGATCCTTTGTTGCAAGTACCCTTTTTTTCCTATACTGTAATGTGTCATTTAATATACAAGTAAACCAGAAACCACTAAATAGTGCAGTAGATGGAATGGGAGGGAGATGGAGCATCTCTGTGGGGGTGAGTTTCTGATGACCTCCTGCTCACCTACTAAAATTAGTTTTAAAGCAACTATCTTCTAGATTTGAACTTCTTTGGACAAGTAACTATTGCAGACTGAAGTTTAATATCCCTGTACCTAATCAAATTCCTAAATATAGGACTGGTAGAGAGAAGCTTGCTTTGCTTAAGTGGGCTTAGACAAAGTGTTTTGTTGTCTTCTGCGGTGGCGATGCAGAAGTTAGCGTTAGCCTGTGGTAGCATTGTTGCCGGCTTGCAACAGCGGAGGAATGGGTTAGCAACGCAGTCCTGATGCTAACCTCGAGCAACGCTCTCCTCTGCAGAGCTCGGCCTCGCTGTCGGGAGGTCTGGTGGTGTGTGCCCAGGCTGGTGGCAACCGCCGGCGCTCACAGCACCCGGGGAGAGAAGCGTTGCATGTGGTCAGCAGGGTTGTGTGCCTCTTGGGGAGGGGGTTTCCTTGGGAGTTGTGCTTGGGGTGTTTCATACTCCAGCAGCGAAGAGGACAGTTCGATACAGCCTTCTGTTTCAGCCTCTTTCCAACGCACACAGCCTTGTAGTAACGTTGGACAGGTTGGTGAGGTGATGAAAGGAAGAGTAATACACCTCTGCCACCACACACAGGAAAGTCTTAGTGGCGTGAGTGCGCTTGCTGGTGTGACGATGCAGTGCTTAATAGAAAGGGAACTAATCCTATGGTATTGCCTGTTACAGTTCTGTGTCAGCCAGGATGGTGGCATTTAAATAGTGTGTGTAAGAATATTCCAGTTTTGTCCGATGAGGAGAATTTCCCTTTCTTCCTCCTTTGTTATTCAGCCAAGTAGAGTAAAACTGGTATTTGGATTTTTAGTTGTGTCCCCCCTTCTCTTCCCTCAAGTGATTTAAAATTTATTGGCTGATTTATACATATGATTAAATAGTGACCACTCCCTGATTTTTTTTTTTAGCATACTTTTTTTTTCTCTCTAATTCAGAATCTTGTTTCCATTTCATCACTCAACAGCTCCAACTCCTTGAATCGTCTAAGAATGCAAATATTTTTGTTTCCAGAACTGTAAAAGATACAGGTGGAGTTGCTGTGACAACACTTCCTGGGCGCAGACAGCGTGCGCTGCCTGCGCTGCTTCTCGTGACGAGTTGGCCCCTCTCCTCGGGCAGGAAGTGCAGCAGAAGCTGGAGAACAGAACATGAGATAAAGTAAATTTTTTGTGCCAAATAAGGCAGGAGGTGTTATTTCAGGACACCTACTGTGCATCTAACCCTGCCGTTGTTTTCTACCCTCCTCTGTCCCCACAGTATAATTTCACTGGCAATATTTAGGTTTCTGGGACTGTTCACCACCCCCTTGAGGAGTGGGCAGGCAGGGGTGTGAGGGAAGCACTGGG